GGGTGTGGGAAATGAGGTGGGAATTGCTCAGTTGCATGAAACTATGAGTACAGGGCAATGGCACTGAAAACTGGCACCATTTTACACAGGCAGTGGTAATTTTAGCTGATATCTCACTCCTGAGGGTAACAAAGGCACAGAGAACACAGCTGCTGCTGACATCCTGGAGCCACCTGGGGCCTGTATGCTGTTACCTACTTATTGTAATGGTGCCTGCCGAAGTTCTCCAACTGGTGTGGAAAAGTGTCCTCCTGAGGGGAAAGAAAGAAGGGTGCCATCCCTAGAAATCTTTGGGAGAGGATTGCAGTGTACCTCCATGAAAGTTTCATCAAGATATCTCAGGAGGATTCAAGGGCCATCCCTGTGTACATAAAGAAACTGCTTCTCATGCCCCCTCTGCTTAACTCTGCAAGGGAGTGAAAAGTAGATAGCTACCCTACCTCTTCTAGTATGAGTAAATTAACAAAAAATCAATAGCTGTTTCCTGCTAAATTGGGAGGCACCATCACTAATGGGAAATAAATTTACACGTTTTCCTGAGGTTTCTTCCCTTGCATTGGGCTCACCCATGTTCAACTGCTGGGACTGACTGGACTGTGGTAGAGTTTCAAACAGGTCTTGGCTCGGGGCATAGCGGGCCCCTCACCGCCCCTTGGTCACATGTCCCACATCCTCCTTCTTTATCTCCTCCTTGCTGTTCATGCCAGGGGCCTGTGACTCAGACTCCTCGGAGGTATCCATAGTGGTGTGTGGAGCGGTGCGGGGGGCCTCTAAGTATGGCATGCAGTTCTTTGTAAATGTGGCAGGTCTGCAGCTTGGCACCCGATCAATTGTTGGCCTCCCTGGCCTTCTGATATGTCTGCCATAGTTCCTTTGCTTTCGCATAGCACTGCTGCTGATTGCTGTCATACCCCTTCTCCTACATCCCATGTGCAATCTGCTCATAGTTGTACATGTTTATGTCTGGTCCGTAGCTGTGCTTGCAACAGCCTTTTCTCCCCACAGGCCGAGAGCCAATATCTCCAGTCTACTCCAGGCTGGAGCGCATCTGGAGCATGTAGCTGGCATAGTCAGCTGGGCAGTTGCACATAACAATGGAGAGCTGCCTGTTGTGTTAATCAAGATGGACAATCAGGAAAGGGCATTTCAAAAATGTGCAGGCTTTTAAAGAGGATGAGTTGGGCTTCCAGTCTCCGTGTCTCCTGCACAGTGGAGTTTACAACTGTGATTAGAGTGGTCAGTGTCAGGCGTTGTAGGACAGCTGCTGGAGGACTGCTAAGGTTGACATAGGTAATGCAGTGTCTACATTTGGGCTATGTTGACCTCAATATATTGACCATGGCTCAATGCTGCTTGGGGAGGTGGTGTTACTATGTCTGTGTAATAGAGAACTTACATCGATGGGAGACAAATTTTAAGTGTAGACACATCAATTCAAGGCAGTTTATGTTGACCGAACTTTGTAGTATAGACTATACCTAAGATAACAGGAACAAAACCAATTCCTAGAAACTAACACTAAGGCAATGTTGTCTTTGCCATACATGTCATCCTTCATGTGAGACCCATGCTGCTAATTAAGCACCAGCCATTTTCAGCACTAGCTGTATCTTCTGAGTGGCCTCAAAGTATATTTGTATAGCTTTGTATATATTGTTCCTATTAAATTAGTCTGGATCTCACAAAGGCATGAATAGCTGTTGTGAGCCCCAGATCTGAGGCGAGAGTTTGCATTTTTTCCCCCCAATTGAAAAGTTTTGGAGAGGAAGCATTTGTGAGAATTGCTGTTGCCAGATAAAACTAGAAGCATCTCAGGATCTAATATAACCCCCAAGTTGTGAATCTTACAGTCTAAGGGCTGGCATACCCTCTTAGTTAAAGGGGTCAGTTATAATATCTGCCATCTCTTCCAGATAGGTCCTCAACCAGCCAGGATCATCCCCTCTTTCTTTTCTGGATTGAGCTTCAGACAGCTAACTCAAGTTCTTAAAACAGACAAAAGTAATGGTGTGAAGTAGACAAGCCAGTTTTCTTGTAGTCAAATAATGACCTAATTTTCTATAAACTTTCTCCTTTGGCATATCAGAATTACAGAGTCCTGGGAACACAAGCGGTTTCAAAGTTTTTCAGCATATGCTGTCCAGCATAGGATTGAAATTTTTCCTCATATTCAGGCAGGAACTATATTTGAGACACAGAAATACAGTATAGAGTCAGGGAAGGAGGATCCATGTTTAAAAAAAAAAAAAAACTCTACAAGCCTAATGCAGCTCTCAATTTAGTGTATTTTCTGTTATTATCCTAGGGACAACTTGATTTCTACAACATAAATATGTTGGGAGGCTGAAATGGCAAGTTCAAGGTAGAGTTAAGCCATGCTACATAGTTTATGTATTGTTAGTTTTAAGATGGATAATAGTCTGAAAAATCTTCAGGCAGTTGCAGGGGTGCTGGGACAGTTTTTATAATAGAGACGCTGAGAGCCATTGAACCAAACTGTAAACCCTGCATATAATGGAAACCACTTCAAGCCAGGGGGTGCTGCAGCACCCCCCACATCTGTAGTTCCAGCACCTATGGCAGTTGTATGGCTTTAGAAAAGGAAGAGTGGAGAAAATGATTGAATAGGTTTTAGTCACCTCAAAAGTAGTCCTCACCTTACCATAAATCCATTCCAATATCTGGAGTGGGGGTTACTAAAGTGTGAAGAAATTGCACTTTGAGGTAGTGACTCAAACTTCCTTCTCAATTTTTTTGTTATGCAGAATATTTGAAATTAGATGACATTGACGCAAGTGTTCTTTAACTTCCTCTAAATTAGATGAAATGCTTGTACCTGATTAGTGGAAATAAAACCATAAGGCTAAAAGTTTATATTAGGTGACTAACTTCTTTGGCATAATATAAAAATGTTAAGACACCCAATGTGCTGCTGCAGTTGATCAATCATTGCTGCAGAATTTGTATTTCCACTGTTGGTATTACTTTAATTTCATGATAGCAAAAGTACTGACTTAATTGTTTAATGGTTGAACTTTTTTGAAGTGATCAAGATCAAAATGTTCAAGCAGAAAAGCTATGTCTTGAGGATAATTTACTAGATTGATCATGGGACTGGATTCCAGGGAGTCTGGATTTCCAGTCCTAGCTGTGCCGCTGCCTGTGACTTTAGATAAGTCATTTAGAACCAAAATTTCAAAAATAGCTTTTAATTTTGGGTGTCTTTATATTTGGGTGCTCAACTTGAGACACTGAAGAGCCTGATATTTATTCATTCCAGAGAAGTGTAGCGCCTGTACACATTGACTTCATTTTGAAGTTATAGGTATTAAGGCTTCTGAAAATGAGCCCCCTAGATATTTCAAGTTAAGTACACACAATTCAAACTCCCTTTGAAAATGTGACCCTTAGAGATACCACTGAACATGAAATAACACTTGTTTGAAAATGTACCTGCTGTAGTTATTAATAACACCTAAGCTTTCAGTAACTGTATTGTTAGCAATTTTTTCTTTTTCCATGTTTTACCTTGTGCTTTTAATTGCATTTTATATGTAGTCTTGATGTTTCCCTCACTCATTCACTCAGTTTCTTTTTTGCTGAATTAGACCCTCATAAATGTCAACAGGAGAGCAGAAAATTATTTCAAAGACATTTATTTAGATATTAATTTGTTTTTAAATTCAAGATCTACTATTTAGTGGGTGCTGTATCAGAAATCTGAATTCTCTATTGTTGTAGCCATATCGGTCCCAAGATATTAAAGAGACAAGGGGGGGGCAGGTAATATCTTTTATTGGACCAACTTTTGTTGGTGAGAGAGACAAGAAGTTGGTCCAATAAAAGATTTTACTTCACTCACCTTGTTTCTCTATCATGAGCCAGTTTAACAAGATTCCTGTTGTGTGTCCCTTTAACTTTTATCTTGAGCAGTCTGTCTGTGTATACGGCAGGGATAATACCTTCTTGTCTCACAGGGGAGTGATAACAGTTATGTTTGTACTGTACAGTTATCTTTGAACTGATGAAGCTCTGTATTCATAGTTTGGGGGAGGAGGGGTTTAAATGTCAAAAAGGACCATTAGCTCCTCTAGTCTGGCCTTCTGTATATCACATGCCATTACATTTCTGCAAGTTACTCCAGTAACTTGTTTGACTAAAGCATACCTTCCAGAAAGATATCCAGTCTAGATTTGCAGACATCAAAAGAAGGGGAATCTACAAGTTCCCTTGGTAGTTGGTTCCAATGAGTAATCATACTCATTTTTTTTATAAAATCGTGCCTAGTATCTGGCATCAACTTTCAGCTACTGGTTCTTGTTAGGCCTTTCTCTGCTAGATTAAAGACTCCTTTAGTACCTGATAATTTCTCCCCATGAAGGTATTGTAATGAAGTCACTTCTCATCTTCTTTTTGATAAACTAAACAGATTGGGAGCTTAAATCTCTCAATGTGTAAGACATTTTCTCTAGCCCTTGAATCAATTTTGTGGCTCTTTTTTGCACTCTCTCCAATTTTTCACCATCCTTTTAAAAATGGGGACACCAGACTTGCATGCATTATTCCAGTATCTGTGTCCTCAGTGCTGTATACAGAGGTAAAGTCACCTCCCTATACCTACTCATTATTCTCCTGCTTATACATCCAAGGATGGCCTTAGCTCTTTTTGCCACAGCATCGCTCTGGGAGCTCATGTTCAGTTGCTTGTCCATTGTGACCCGTAATCAGAGTTATTGTTTTCCAGAATAGAGTCAACCGTTCTGTAGTTATATCCTACTTTTTTTTTTCCGTTCCTATACGTGTGATCTTGTATTTGTCTGTATTAAAATACACTTTGTTTGAATGGACCTAGTTTACCATGCAATCCTGATTACTCTGTATGATTACCTTGTCCTAGCTAATACTTACCACTCCGCCAATCTTTGTGTCAACCACACATTTTATTGGCAGTGATTCTTATGTTTGCTTCTTGATTGCTGATAAAAAATGTTGGGCCTAAGACCAATCTTGCAGAATCTCACTAGAAACACCTCCATTCAATGAGGCTGACGACTACCTTTTTAGATCCATCACTTAGCCAGTTTTTATTCCATTTAACATGTGCTTGGTTGATATTGTATAGTGCTAATTTTCAGTCAGAATGTTGTTGTGCTGTACTAAGTCAAATGTCTTACATAGTCTATTATATGTATGCAGTTACCTTTTATCAACCAAATTTGTAATCTCAAAAAGTGAAATCAGGTTGAAAACCTATTATCCATAAAACAGTATTGACTGTTGTTGATTATAGTCCCATCCTTTAAGTCTTTCTTAATTGAATCTCTCATCAGCTTTTCCATTATTTTGCCTAGGAGTGATGTCAGACTAATCAGCCTAAGATTATGCACATCATCCTGCTGTGTAAGGCTTCCTATTATGTGAAATATAATTTCAGTGTAATTATGCATACTTCTAAGGCATAGCTTCTGGGATTTTACAAATCAAATCTCCAGTTTCAATATGTTTTAAGAAAGGTACAGTTTTGGCATACTTAACTTTTTTTTTTTTTTTAAGATGGTGTGGATAATTATCTGTTTCAGTATGCATCCTAAAAAAATCCCTAAATTCTTGAACGCCATAGATGAGAACAGTTTATAATCCATAGGTGAGATGCCTCCCAATATTTGTGATAGAAATCACATGGCATCCCAGTTACTATTGCAATACGAGGTAACAATGGATCTAATTTAATTTTCATTCCTTTTCCCTAGGCCAACTATGAAGTGTCTTCAGATGAAAAGCGTAAAGATTGTGGTCTGAAAGTTTTAGACACATACTTCACTAACTTGGTAAATATATCCTGTTGCAAAATACTTTGTCAGACTGCATTGTAAGAGCTGACCAGATTAGAGCTCAAAACTGCAACAATTTCAGATGGTATTTTAGTTTTCAAAATATTAAGAAGTAAATCGCTCTCAAAATGAGAAACTCTAATAAAATTTTGCAAGTCATTCTGGAATGTGGACTAGCCCTTCCTTTCAAGATTATTGCAAAACTTCATTAACTCAAGCACAAAGCTTGACTGCTCTCTACCATTATTTTTTCATTAGCACTATGACATTTAACTTTTCTCTATGTATGGTAAAAAATTTTTTTTTAATTACTAGTCCTGGGCAAGCAGAATTTTGTGAGATTGGACTAAAACCCATTGACATCTAAACATCAAAAAGTAGCTAAATTGCTGTTTTAGCATATTACTTTAAAGTAGTGTGGTTTAGAGACATGAGAATCATTGGAATGCAAGGAACTCTTGAGTACTAGATCTGGTTTTGCAGCTGACATGTTGTGTGGACTTGAGAACTTAGGTCTAAATTTTCAAAAGTGTTTCAGGTTTTGGCTGCCCAGCTTGAGAAACACAGGAGTTGATTTTTCAGAAGATGCTGGGCACCCACAGCTCCTACTGAGTTTATTAATATCTGATTACTGCCCTGGTAAATTAAATATGCCTAGAGATGTCCCTGGTAGAATTCAAGGAGACTTTGTTCTTCTCCCTATTCTGTCTAGCGGAAGTTCTGTCAGGGATATAACTTCCATCCTCTTTTCTCCCTATCCTCTCCAATTGTTCTGGTTATGTTGAGGAAGCTTTATCTTGAGGAAGATATGGATCTTGCGGGTGTCCTAAAAATGCTCAGGCTCTGGATTAGTCTCATCTTCTCTGGAAGCTTATTTAACAGCTGGCATGGTCTTTAAACCAGTGAAAACTGGTCAGGCCTCTTAAGCCACCTAACCACCATGTCCCTAACTAGTTTTAAAATGTGTTTAGCTGAAGTTATTTGTTTTTTAAACCAGTTAGAAAACTTCCTCTGATATAGAGAGCAGAATTGGTTGCGAATCTGAAGGTGAAAGGCAATTTGGGTGAAAATGATCATGAAATGATAGATTTAATGAACTCTAAGGAGAGGAAGGAGTGAGAACAGCAGAATAAGCACAATGGACTTCAGAAAACATACTTTAACAAACTCAGAGCACTGGTAGGTAAGGTCCCATGGGAAGAAAATCTAAGGGATAAAGTAGATCAGGAAAACTGGCAGTTTGTCAAAGAGAGAATATTAAAGGAAGAACTGCAATCTATCCTGATGCAAAGAAAAGATAGGAAGAACAGTTAGAAGCCAATATGGCTGCATCAGGAGCTCTTTAATGACCTGAAAGTGAAAAACTATCCTACAAAAGTAGAAATATGGGCGAACTGCTAAGGAGTACAGAAAAAATAGCACAAGCATGAAGAGACAAAATTCAGAAAAACAAGGCACAAAATGAGTTGCGCCTGGCAAGGGACATAAAAGGCCAATAAGAAGAGGTTCTTTAAATACATTAGGAGTGGGAGAAAGATGAAGGAAAGTGTAGGTCCTCTACTTAGGAGAAAAGGAGAGCTACAGATGATATCAAGAAGGCCGAGGTGTTTAATGCCTATTTTGCTTCAGTCTTCACTAAAAGGTTAATTGTGACCAGATGCATAAAACAATTAATATTAATATTAACATCAAAGGGGAAGAAACCCAGCCAGATTAGGGAAAGATAAAGTTAAAGAATATTTAGATAAGTTAGATGCTGTCAAGTGGGCAGGGCATGATGAAATTCACTCTAGGGTACTTAGGAAACTAGCTGCAGCAGTCTTGTAACTGTTAGCAATTCTCTTTGAGAACATGTGGAGGATGGGTGAGGTCCGGAGGACTGAGAAAGGCAAAAAAAAAAAGCACATATCTTTAAAAAGGGAACAAGAGAACTTGGGGAATTATGGGCCAGTCAATTTAACTTCCACTATCTTTCCAGGAATTGAACAAATTATTAAACAATCATTTTGTAGGCACGTAGAGGATAATAGGATAATAAGTAATAGCCAACGTGAATTTGTCAAGAACAAATCATGCCAAACAAACCTGACATATATATTGATTTTTGGTAAGGCCTTTGACACAGTCCAACATGACATACTCATAAGCAAACTGGGGAAATGAGATCTGGATGAAATAACTATAAGGTGGGTGCAAAACTGGTTGAAAGACCATACTGCTTTGACATCATGTCTGTACTCAACTCATCTAAGCAGTGCCTCACTTTCTACACTGCTATTTGTACCTGTGCTCAAGGGCATGCAGTGTATGTACTCTATACACTGTTGTAAATAGACATAGCCTTAGGAAACAAAAATCAAATGCACAAATAGAAAATGGGGAATAATTGGCTAGGTAGTACAGTAAAAGCTGTTTTATCCGACACTTCACCAACCAGAAAGCTCTCTAAACCGGTGTGACTGGATTCCCAGGGGAGCCAACTGAGGTCACTCAATTAGGATGAACTGCAAAGAATGGGGGCACTCCAGCCCCACACCCCCTCCCACACCCAAACACCCTCCCTCTTTGTTAACCGGCATTTTTCACTTACTGGAACCCCCCATTTCCTCAACATGCTGTATAAACAGCTTTTACTGTAGTACTACTGAAAAAGATCTGGGGAGTATAGTGTATCACAAATAAAACATGAGCCAACAATGTGATGCAGCTGGGGGGGGGGAAAAAAGCAAATACCATGTATTAATAGGAGTGTCATATGTAAGACATGGGCAGTAACTGTCCCGGCTGTCCTCAGCACTAGTGAGACCTTCGCTGGAGTACTGTGTCCAGTTTTGGGTCCCACACTTTAGGAAAGATGTGGACAAATTGGAGATAGTCCAGAGCAACAAAAATGATATTATTAAAAACAGGCCTATGAGGAAAGGTTAAAAAAACTGGGCATGTTTTAGTCTTAAGGAAAGAAGACTGGGGAGGGTGGGACCTGATAAGCCTTCAAATATTGTAAGGCCTGTTATAAAGAGGATGGTGATCCATTGTTCTCCATGTCCACTGGAGGTATGCCAAGAAGTAATGGGCTTAATCTGCAGCAAAGGAGATATTAGGAAAAACTTTCTCATTATAAAGGCTAATTACCTACTGGACTAGGTTACCAAGGGAGATTGTTGAATCCCCATCACTGAAGGTTTTTAAGAACAGGTTGGACAAAGACCTCTCAGGGATGGTCTGTATATACTTGATCCTGCCTGGGTGCAGGTGGATGGACTAGTTGACCTCTTGAGGGTCTCTTACAGCCCTACATTTTTATGATTCTTTATCTTTGTTAGATTACTAATTGTTTTCATTATTGTTTTTGGTTTGTATCATGTAAAGTCTGCAGCCCACTTACCGGAAATACCTCAGGATACAGTGAATGAATGTAAAACAAGACTGGAGCAGAACCCTTGCAAAGATCTTTTTAATGACTGCACTAGGTACGTGATGAATGTTGACTAAAAATGTTGGCTAAAAGTACACTGAAAATTTGTATTTCCAGGGAGGTTACAGGGAAAGTTTAAAGGGACACTATCAAATGAATTCTGGTGAGGACACAACTAGGAATCTAGTGCTCTTTGTTTTCCTGTGTAGTGTGTTCAGAACTCATGTTGTTCTTAGAGTTGCTTCTGTGCTGTAACAGAAGTGACGTTATTATTGTGCCTTTGACTTTAGTGGGAGTTGTGCAAATGTGTCCAAAGACAGAAGAATCTGGGACACTAATACAATGCGAGAGCAGAATACATACAGACCAAAAACATGTTTATCGAGCTAAAACTAGGTTTTTTGGTTTCTGGAAGTTCTGCAACTGTTATTGTTTGCAGACCCCTTTTAGTATTTATAGAGGATTCAGTAATGATTCTACTTTTAAAATTGATGAAATTTGCACTTAAAAACAGTTAAATCCCCTCTGTCATTTTAAATGAGTTTCTTGGAGCCTCCATACTGACTTAATAGATAGCACACTACACACTACCAGGCAAGTATTTTCACAAGTTCAAAAAACTGAATATGGGAGAACTGTATATTTTTCCTCTTCCTCTTACAAGTCAGGATTTTAGATGTACAGAGATGTGTTGAGGACAGTTTCCTTGTCTTGTTTTTAGACTGTGCTAGAAAATCCTTTTATTGGAGCAGCCTGTTTATAAAAGGATTGCAGGCCCAATGCTTACACAGCAGGACGGTCATACAATTTTCAGGACAGATGGCAACACTAATTACATTGCTAGCTCAAGAGGCATTATGTTGTCCTTGAAGTGCTCCAATCTCAAGATAGCAGACAAATAGGACAAGGTATGATTCTGGAAGCTGAGATTGTCACTTCAAGGACAGTAAAAACTATTGCTTCTTAAGAACCCACTAGTGGCTGGCTCTGAGAGATGGTGGCAACTTACACCTCTACTGAAACAAAGCAGTATATCAGAATAAATTGGCTGGTGGAAGCTAGAAGACCTTCACCTAGGCAAATGTTCCTTTTGCAGACACAGTTGATGAGGATTGAAGGCCTCCTCACTGTGCATCGTGACTGGGGATCTGAGTTGCTGGTGGAAGGGGAATTTGGAGGGGAATTTGGAGGGGATGGAGTGCTCATCATTTAAAATTAAAAAATCCTAAACATTTAAATGTGGTTTAGGACAAATTTCTTTGAACTTCAGGGGATGAATAACTAACTTTCTGGAATTTAGCTGTATGAATCCCATATATTTGTGGAAAAGGTGGGAAGGGATAAAGGCTCCTGTTCTTCAAAGTGATCTATGGAGGCAGAGCATTCTGATTGCACAATGTCCAACTGAAGTCTTTAGAGCTGTTCATGGGCAGCAGAGTCTGCCTGCATGGTTTTGTTAACCTGCCTTTCCATTTCTCTTAATTCTTTTGTTCTTGTGAACCAATCAAGTTGATAGGGAAATATTCTGATTTACTGCATTTAAAAACATAAGATTAAGAAAAAAATCACACTACTTCCTGAATTTTTTGTACCCATTATTAATGGTAAGAACTAAGATTTTTCTAGCTGAAATAGATTAGAAAAATATTTCTCTTTATTCCAGTTTTACTTTATGTATAGTTTCATTGTTTTCCCCCTCTCGTTTGTAGGGGACTATTTTTTTACTTCAGTAAAGGAGAGAAACTATTTTTTCCTTCTTTTAAAAAGGAAAGTGTAAAATCATAAATCAAGACTTGTGTTATACCCAAAACTTCTATCAAGTAATTTTTTGGAAACTGTCTAGACTTCAAGTTGGCAGTGTCCAGGGATAAACAAAGGGATACCGATTTAGAATCCATGTGACTGTGGCCAACAACAGTATTTCAATATTGTGGATGAAAATCAGTTTTAAATGAGTGATCATGATTAACATTACTGACTATTTAGCACAACTTGTTTTGTTCTCAAGTAATACAGTGGCATTTCAGATACCTACACCAGGCAAAGGACTCTTCTTGAAAGGATAGTACATATTTACAAACGTTCAGTCTTCTAGAGCCCTTACACTTCTAATATTACTGGTTCTTCTAGGCATGCTTAATCATGTCTGCCAAAAAGCCTACAACATTTGAGTCACTGCTTGGGTCACCTCCCCAGCAACTGAAAACTAAATACTATGCATAATTTGAGAATAAGAGATAAAAAAAGATGCACAGAATACATACTACTAAGAAGTTAAACAGATAACCTCCTCTTTTTTTGGACTTCCAGTGAATGTCTGTGTTCAGCAAGATGAGGCTTTCCCATCTTTTATCTCGTCTTGCATTTTGTTGCTTAGTTTGAGGGAAGTGGTGTACAGGCCTAACCATCAGGTTTGGAAGGTTGGTTTTAATGATACAAGTTCAAATCCCAGAGAAGGGTCCGCTCAGCTCTATATTCTTCTGAGGCAGATAATTTGTATGCTAGGCAATTACTTGGTATTGGTCTTTAAAAACTGAGGCCCTGTCTGCTCTGCATAGACACAGAGAGGCTTTTTTTTCCCCCCCCCCCCCCCCCGCCAAACAAGGCATTTATTTCGGTGGGCACAATTACATGCACTCTGTAAATGAAAGATGTGGATGCAAAATTGTGCATTGCAACCCTGTCACCTTAGCAATGGAACTTATATTCCAAAATCACTTTAACAGTTTTAATAAAACCCATCTGAAATGATTGTCTAGTATTAATAAGTAACATTCTCAACACACCCACTGCCTAGCTGGATTATTCTTGAAAAGAATTCAGGAAAAATCATTGAGTACTCAATCACATTTTAAAGACAATTTCTCTCTGTAATGTGCCAAACTGATCTTAAAAGGAGAATTTTGCCTTAAATCCATGTTTAAACTATTAACAATTAGTCCTTTAAGTATACTTGTTTTGAACAGGTTAACTATGTCATACCAGAGTCTGTGCTTTAAAGAGTTTTTTTCATCTCAAGGCACAAAATACTTTTGTTCTGTTTTTATCATTGATCTGCATCTGGGAATTCAAAGGCCTTGTTAACTGTGCTGCTTATAACTCTGATTTAAAATGTGTTTGCCAGTTGTCTTGTGAGTCTTCAGAGGTCTAACTTTGCTATGAAATTTTTTGGCAGTTGTAATGTAACCTGATAGACTGTGTCCCAGTTGGTTGAGATGTTTTCGTGTAAGTGAAACTGTAACAATCAATTATTCCAGTTGTAAAATAATAACTGATGCATAGTATCCTGCTGAGCTGGGTCTGATAACTCATTCCCCTGACTACACAGATACCAAGGTTTTAGGAGTAGGTGGGAAGCTGGAGATTGCACTGTTCAGTGATGCTTCTAAAAGCAATTATGGGCAGAGGTTAGAAACTGCAGCCAAAGTAACTTTATGTTGATGCTACCTCTGGGAAAGGTATAGGTGATGGAGACTTTCTGGGAAAGGAATGCTTGTGCGTAAAAAATAAAAGCACAGTGGGAGCACTTCAGGGATTTTTGATCTAGTTAAATTGCAATCTTATCTGTTGATGTACAGATATCTTTTAAAATGGCTGCATCTATACTCATGATAGGACAGTGATACCAGCTCTCAAGGTGAGCCACATCCTCTGATCAGGCTGGCCTTGGAAAGCTGCTGAGAAGTGCTTCTGTTTTTGTCTCCACACCTGATACCCTCACCTCTTGTCCCAAAATTGGATCTCCTTATGATCGGAAGGGGAAAGGAGTGCAGGCCTCTACATGCAATCCCCAAACAGGCCATGCTTATGGGGGGATGTCTCACCTCCCATGCCACCTTAAAATTAGCTCTGCTGGTGGGTCAGTCATTTTGATCTCTAATTCCTCAAGAATTATTTTAAAGCTTCCAACTTGCTAAAATAAGCAAGATCTGTTACTTCTGCACTCCTTAGTGACCCTACACGTGCAGTTCTCAATGGAATTGTACTAGCTGCTCACTCTCTCTGAGGCAGGCACAGTAAACTCATTGTGTAGTGTAGTGCAGTAATATGTTCACTCCATCTCCCGACAGATTAATTGATACATCTAAATTGGTGTCTAATGAAGTGGTTAGCTTCTCATCCCTGATAGCACCAGTCTGCCAACATAAACGTGGATTGTTTTTGCAGGATTGTCCAGGATTATTTAAGTGGAGCACCTTTTGAGGCTTACCAACAAAGCATCTATTTCTCCCGTTTTTTACAGTGGAAATGGTTGGAAAGGTAAAGTATTTTTATATTTAACACTTACTGCAGTAGTACATAAAAGCCAGCCAACTTGGGGCCCCATTGTACAAATATAGTAAATGACATTCCCTGCCTCAAAGAACGTACAGTCTAAAAGACAAGATGTAATGGGCTGATGAGATGACAAACAAATGGAGCTGTGGTAGACATGTATTAATAATGAAAGCATCTGTTTTATGACCTCAAAGCATTTTACATTTAACTACTCTAAACTTTTAAAAATCTTTCTGTGTGCTTGTATAGTGCATAGCCCCCAATGGGGTTCTGAGCTTGACTGGGGCCTTGGGTGCTATTATAATACAATTATATTAATCATTACAGCCCACTGTATGGTAAGGTAATTAACTGATTTTACAGGTGGGTTAACTGAGGCACTGGTTAAGTGACTTGCCTAACTATAGAGACCAAGATTTTTAAAATAGGGGCCTATGTTTAGGGTCCTAAATCCATATTTTAAGCCATTTAAATAAGTGGCCTGATTTTTTCAGAAGAGCTGTCACCTAGAAGTTCCATAGAGGTCAGTGGCCCCTGCTGGATGTTCAGTACTCTTGACAATCAAGCCTACTCCTTTAGGCTCCTAGGTGCCTAACCATGATTTTCACTGTAGGCTTCTGTTACTGGAAAAATCTTTGTTTAAGCAAGCTAGAGGTAGATGCAGGAGGAAAATTAGGAAACTTTTATTCAGACCTCTAGACCAAATACCTCTGAAATATAGATCAAGCAAGGTGGTAAAACTTGTATTGGCTTCAGTGGGAAAAGAATTGAGTCAGTGGTGAACACTTGAAAATCCCAGCTTGAAACAGTCTCCTCACAAACCATGCATGAGAAGAACAACCAACATGCGTGGCGGTGACATAGACCCTAAATTTTTGTTCATTCTGCTTGTAGCAACTGCTTGCTGCCCACAAGGGGGAGCCATGTCCATGAGCAAAAGCACCTTTTCTTTGGTATTCAGTTTGTATTCTAATCCTTTCATCCACTCAAGTGAAGGAAAGGCATTGTGTAGTCTGGTGGTCATGAAAGTTATATAGGAGAAGAGGGAAGAAACAGAAACAAACAGGGCTCTGAAAGAAAAACAAAAAAATATAATTGGAAATGAGACCAGTAATTATTCCATTCTGTCTTGCATCTGAAGAAGTGAGGTTCTTACCCACGAAAGCTTATGCTCCCAATACTTCTGTTAGTCTTAAAGGTGCCACAGGACCCTCTGTTGCTTTTTACAGATTCAGACTAACACGGCTACCCCTCTGATACTTGACTCCATTCTGTCTGTTAGGCAACCAGTAACCAAGAACACATTTAGACATTACCGAGTACTAGGCAAAGGAGGATTTGGAGAGGTGAGTACTGTGAGATCTCTACTTGTGTTTGCAACTCCTTGAAGGGAACATGGGGGAAAAGGTAACTTACACTCATCATTCCTTGAATAAATAACAGATTTGATTAGATCAGTGGTTCCCAAACTTTAACAGCCCGCGAACCCCTTTCACTAAATTGTGAAATCTCGTGAACCCCCTCCTAAAAATGAATATTTTCAGGGATTTAAGTTTAAATTTCCTCAGTGTGATGGATGCCCCAACTGCCGGGCCCGGAATCTATGAACCTCTGAAAAATATTTTTAATTGAAACTTTTTTTAACGAACATAGAAAAAGCAGAAACCAAAAATGTTTCGTAAAATGTTTTTTTGGCTTTTGTTTTAAAAAAAAATGGTTTCGAATAAAAATAAATTCATTTTTGGTTTTCAGAAATCAGAAAATGTTTCATGAAAACAGTTTTTGAAAATGGACCATTTTTCCGTTTCAGTTTTTTGTAAATTTTTTTGGGGGAATTTTGAAAAATGAAAAAAATTCAAAACTGTCTGTGAAAAATGCTTGGTATTTTTCACCCACCTCTAGTTTAGGGTGAGGTTGTGGCTGGTGGTAACAAGGAGGGCTGTGGTTCTGGCTTTAGATGAGATTTGGCAAATTCCTGGAGCTCGGGCTGGGGTTCGGGCTGCCGGCTCCCCCGCTGACGGGGGCGGGGCTTGGGCTGCCAGCCCCTACTGCCCGGCCCCGCTCTCCCTGGGGCTCGGGCTGCCAGCCCCGCGCAGAGCGCTGGGGTTCAGGCTGCCGGCTCCCCTGCTGACGGGGGCAGGGCTCGGGCTGCTGGCCCCAATTGCCCGGCCCCGCTCTCCCTGGGGCTCAGGCTGCCAGCCCTGCGCGGAGCGCTGTGGTTCAGGCTGCCGGCTCCCCCACTGACCGCCGGGACTCGGGCTGCCTGCCCCAACTGCCCAGCCCCGCTCTCCCTGGGGCTGGGGCTGCCGGCTCCCCCGCTGACAGGGGAGGGCTGGGGCTGCCGACTCAAACTGCCTGCTCTCCCCAAGGCTCGGGCTGCTGGCTCCCTGGCTGACAGGGGAGGGCTCGGGCTGCTGGATCAAACTGCCCGGCCCCGCTCTCCCCAAGGCTCGGGCTGCCGGCTCCCCCCGCTGACAGAGGAGGGCTGGGGCTGCCGACTCAAACTGCCTGCTCTCCCCAAGGCTCGGGCTGCCGGCTCCTTGGCTGACAGGGGAGGGCTCGGGCTGCCGGCTCCCCCGCTGACAGGGGAGGGCTCGGGCTCGGGCTGCCGGCTCAAACTACCCGGCCCCGCTCTCCCTGGGGCTCGGGCTGTCTGCCCTGCAACTGGGTCCCAGCAGAGTCCTCTGGCCGCCATTAATGAAATTTTTCTTTCGAACCCCCTGAAACGTTCTGCGAACCCCCAGGGGTTCGCGAACCCCACTTTGGGAACCACTGGATTAGATCAATTGTAATTCACCAATTTACCAAATTGAAAAGGCAGCATTTTTTCTTTTAAACACTTGCATCTAACAAGACAGTTGGTTCGTGTAACAATTCTTTCCCACTGTTGTTACAAACCCCCCCCCTCAAAACCAAACAACCCAGTGTGTCCACCCATGAAACAGTTAAATTCGTTCTGTATTTTACTTGTCTTCAGGGCTCCCAAGGGGGTTAGAAAAGAGAGAACTGTTTTTGTTCCAGTGTAAAACCTGGTACATCTGACATATCTTTCCTCTTTCCATTAGGTATGCGCTTGCCAAGTGCGGGCAACAGGAAAAATGTATGCTTGTAAAAAGCTAGAAAAAAAGAGAATAAAGAAGAGAAAAGGAGAATCGATGGCATTAAATGAAAAAAGAATTTTAGAAAAAGTGAATAGTAGATTTGTAGTAAGTATATATTTCTGGCCTTGTGAAATATACAAGTTTGTCTCTCATAGGCCTTTCTTTATTCCTGTCTCTTCCAGTGGCAGCTGGGCAGCATAATAATTTCATAATTAAAATTGGCTCAACTGTGCTTAATAGTTCAGTTACACAATTATTTTTTCAATGTTACCCTGTACATTTTAGGTCTGCGTGGGATGTGTGTGTTATCTCTGGCCTATCAGTTTTGTCTAGTCTACGGTCAAGGTGCTTTGTCTTACGTTAATGTATATCATTCTGGTAAATTTCTCTTTGTTTAAAAGAGGGCCAGACTGTGATCTGAATGATGAATGTGATCCTAGTTTTGCTGCAGCCAATGGTTGCTAATATGGCCACTCAATTTAGTAATGTTCTCCTTAGTCTTATTGCCCCACATCTCTCCCCAAATCTATTCTTGCTTCTTCTACCTCCTACTTTCATGAGAGGAAATATTCAGTTGAATTAAAGTGTATTTACGGTAGGGCTAACTTCAATGCATATCAGCTCCTTGGGAGGTTAGACCTTTATTTTGACTTTCATTGGAATCATGGTTTCCATGATCAGTTTTTTCCCCAACAAAAATACCCAACTTTTAACTTCTTAAGACTCTTTTGAATGCTATGGGGGTGAATAGTATGGTAAGTGGATGAATACTGAGAGGTAATAATGGAGAGCTGCAGAGTTCAACCATGGACTGCATGGGAACCAGGAGGTCAATGACAACACAGTGGTGGTACAATATACTAGACTAGTGAGAACTATAATTCCCCGAAGGTCTATAAGATCACCTATTTCTCTGATAAGTTTTTTAAATGTATATATTTGTTTCTTATATTTGTAGATATTTCAGTCACATTCATCACAATAATGCCATATACATGCTAGGAGAATCATGAAAAGTAGCTGCTCTATAACAATTTCGATGTCAAAAAGTTCTCACTGCCTATGCAATAAAGTTGAAAGGGAGGTGGATTGAAAAGCTACGTTGGGTATAAAATAAAAAGTATGAGTGCTGATGGTTTTTAACTCCACATCATTTCCATGTCTCAACTCTTTCACCATGATATTTCCCAATAAATTATGACCAACTCACAGCCCTGATCACTAAACAACAGATGTGATGGTCTAAAATACTCAAGGAATACATATGTTAAGAAAACTGTTTTTCCAGTTAGGATCATCTATCTTTATCAGTGAATTGCTATTATTTAAAGATTAGCTATAGGTAAATGTCTAGTTAAAATCCATTAATAGATGTATTTTGTTTTATGTTTCAGAGAGAGTTCTAAAGCGCTTGAGCTTCTAAGTTTTTGCTTTTATAGATTCTGCATAGGAGAAGATAGTTTATTCTAAACAAACATAGAATTCTGGTATCTTAAAGAAGGGAAACCATGTTGGCCAAAGAAATCTCATTAGCATCTTAAGCCATGCATAAATAGATTCTTTTATAAAGGATAATATTTTTCCACCTGTGACAAGGCTCACAGTCCACAATCATTTTCCCACAAGTATAAGTTATAAGGCTGCACTGGATATTAAAACTGGAACTTTATTTGATCTTCCTATATCTACCTATACAGTAACACTCTTCCCTGTATAAAAGTTTTAAAATGCTAACGTGACTTTAATTTGTATAATCAATCATAGGACTGGAAGGGACCTCAAGAGGTCATCTAGTCCAGTCCCCTGCACTCATGGCAGGAGTAAGTATTATCTAGACCATTCCTGACAAGTGTTTGGCTAACCTGCTCTTAAAAATCTCCAATGACAGAGATTCCACAACTTCCCTAGGCAATTTATTCCAGTGCTCAGCCACCCTGACAGTTAAGAAGTTTTTCGTAATGTCCAACCTGCAATTTAAGCTCATTGCTTCTTGTCCTATCCTCATTGGTTAAGAACAATTTTTCTCCCTCTTCCTTGTAACAACCTTTTATCTACTTGAAAATTGTTATCATGTCCCCTCTAAGGGTATGTCTACACTACGGGATTAATCCGAATTTATATAATTCGAATTTTGGAAACAGATTGTATAAAGTCGAATGTACGCGGCCACACTAAGCACATTAATTCGGTGGTGTGCGTCCATGTACCGGGGCTAGCGTCGATTTCCGGAGCATTGCACTGTGGGTAGCTATCCCATAGTTCCCGCAGTCTCCTCCGCCCATTGGAATTCTGGGTTGAGATCCCAATGCCTGATGGGGCCAAAAACATTGTCGCGGGTGGTTCTGGGTATATCCTCCCCCCTCTCCAGGGAAGCAATGGCAGACAACCGTTTCGCGCCTTTTTCCTGGGTGAACAGTGCAGACTCCATACCACGGCAAGCATGGAGCCCGCTCAGCTCAAGACAGCAGTCATGAACATTGTAAACAGCTCGCGCGTTATCGTGCAGTTTATGCTGAACCAGAACCTGCAAAACCAGGCGGTGAGGAGTAGGCTACGGCAGCGCGGCGGCGAGAGTGATGAGAATATGGACATGGAATTCTATCAAACTGCGGGACCCGGTGCTTTGGAGATCATGCTGTTAATGGGGCAGGTTATAGCCATGGAACACCGATTCTGGGCCCGGGAAACAAGCACAGACTGGTGGGGCCGCATAGTGTTGCAGGTGTGGGACGATTCCCAGTGGCTGCGAAACTTTCGCATGCATAAGGGCACTTTCTTGGAACTTTGTGACTTGCTTTCCCCTGCCCTGAAGCGCCAGAATACCAAGATGAGAGCAGCCCTCACAGTTGAGAAGCGAGTGACGATAGCCCTGTGGAAGCTTGCAACGCCAGACAGCTACCGGTCAGTCGGGAATCAATTTGGAGTGGGCAAATCTACTGTCGGGGCTGCTGTGATGCAAGTAGCCAAACCAATCACTGAGCTGCTGCTACGAAAAGTAGTGACTCTGGGAAATGTGCAGGTCATAGTGGATGGCTTTGCTGCAATGGGATTCCCTAACTGTGGTGGGGCGATAGATGGAACCCATATCCCATACATAAGGGTATCCAGTACATAAACTGCAAGGGGTACTTTTCAATGGTGCTGCAAGCACTTGTGGATCACAAGGGACGTTTCACCAACATCAACGTGGGCTGGCCAGGAAGGGTTCATGACGCTCGCGTCTTCAGGAACACTAATCTGTTTAAACGGCTGCAGCAAGGGACTTACTTCCCGGACCAGAAAATAACCGTTGGGGATGTTGAAATGCCTATAGTTATCCTTGGGAACCCAGCCTACCCCTTAATGCCATGGCTCATGAAGCCATACGCAGGCAGCCTGGACAGGAGTCAGGAGCTGTTCAACTACAGGCTGAGCAAGTGCAGAATGGTGGTAGAATGTGCATTTGGCCGTTTAAAAGGTCGCTGGTGCTCGTTACTGAGTCGCTCAGACCTCAGCCAAACCAATATCCCCATTGTTATTGCTGCTTGCTGTGTGCTCCACAATCTCTGTGAGAGTAAGGGGGAGACCTTTATGGCGGGGTGGGACGCTGAGGCAAATCGCCTGGCTGCTGATTATGCACAGCCAGACACCAGGGCGATTAGAAGATCACACCAGGAAGCGCTGCGCATCAGAGAAACTTTGAAAACCAGTTTCATGACTGGCCAGGCTACGGTGTGAAAGTTCTGTTTGTTGAAAACCTGCCCCCTTGATTGACTCATTCCCTGTAAGCAAACCACCCTCCCCCCCCTTAAATCACAGCTTGCTTTTAAAGGAAATAAAGTCACTATCGTTTAAAAATCATGTATTCTTTATTAATTGATTATAAATATAGGGAGAGAACCGACAAGGTAATCTGGGTGAGGTTTGGGAGGAGGATAGGAGGGAAGTAAAAGGCCACTGAAAAAATTCAATATGACAGCCTTTTGGTTGGGCTGTCCACTGGGGTGGAGTGGGAGGGTGCATGGAGCCTCCCCCCCCGCGTTCTTACACGTCTGGGTGAGGAGGATATGGAACATAGTGAGGGGGGAGGGAGGTTATGCAGCGGCTGCAGCGGCAGTCTGTTATCCTGCTGCCGTTCCTGAAGCTCCACCAGACGCCGGAGCCTGTCCGTTTGATCACGCAGCAGCCCCAGCGTTGCAGCCTGCCACTTCTCATCTCGAGTGTCCCTCATGACCTCACGTTCACTGGCATCTTTCCTGTATTTAGATACCGTGTCCTTCCACTCATTCAAATGAGCTCTTTCATTGCGGGTGCATTCCATTATTTCCGAGAACATCTCGTTTCGCATCCTCTTTATCCCTCCCCCCACCGCGTGGCTGGTATCAGGGAAGATCCCTGCTAGCCAAACGCGAAAAGCTCAGGGCCAATTTCCCCCCTCCCCCTGCGCTTGGCTAACTGCAGGGAAGGATTTCTTTTCAGCCACAGGCAAACAGCCCAGTAGGAACGGCCACCTCTGTCCCCTTAATTAAATTCCCGTATTTCAACCAGGTTACCATGAGCGATATCACTCTCCTGAGGATTACACAGCGAGATAAAGAACGGATGTTGCTTGAATGCCAGCAAACACCGGGACCATACGCTGCCAGGCTTTGTCATGCAATGATACCAGATTACTTGCTACTAGCATGGCGTGGTCAAGTGTCCTACCATGGAGGACGGAATAAGGCTGCACTGCCCAGAAACCTTGTGGCAAGGCTTTTGGAGTACCTCCAGGAGAGCTTTATGGAGATGTCCCTGGAGGATTTCCGCTCCATCCCCAGACACATTAACAGACTTTTCCAGTAGCTGTACTGGCCGCGATTGCATCCCAAGTCCTCAGGGCAAAGTAATCATTAAAAAACGCTTGCTTTTAAAACAAGTTTTATATTTTAAAAGGTAAACTCACCTGAGGTCCCTTCCATTGGGTCATGGTCTTGGATACTGGCTTGGGAGGGTTGGGAGGGCACTTCAGTCAGGCTGAGAAAAAGATCCTGGCTGTCGGGGAGAACGGAGTGCTGTGTGCTCTCCGCAAGCTCGTCCTCCTCCTCCTCCTCTTCCCCGTCCGCAGAATCCTCAGGTGTAGCTGA